CACGACTTGTAACACAATATACTCGGGATTCTGTATTTCACCGATGTTTCTATATACAAAATTATAATTACAACAAAATGTACAAATTTCCTGTATTATTAAATACATTTATAAACAATTTTCTATTTTAATTGCATAATATTAAATTGAATGTACAAAAGTTACAATCGTAAACCAAAAAAGTCACATTCGTAATAAATTTATATGGTACAAAATGAATTTTATATGACCAAAAATTATGCTTCCAATGTTTAAATAATCTTGTAATTATTTATTGTAACCTTTCGACGTTGCTGTTGTCACATTTCCCAAACTTATATTTTGTGAAAATAAATACTTTATTTATTTAGTTTATCGTCCTTTCCTTTTTCTCTGATATTTCCTTTTAAAATGCAAATATGCAAGCATGTATGCAATATGAAATTCTTCTTTTATTTTGTTTGAAAAATAAATGTATTTTGTATTCCANCTTGAGAGTAATATCAGAGAATCAAAGATTCTCTAGAACGTCGAATTCATTCGGTTAATGCAAAATACGTTTGATGCCAGCATAAAATGGGAAACTCTGGTTTGAAACAGCATTATCAAACCGCGAAGAAGACTGGCGCGTTAAATGTTTCCAACAGAAAGCTCGACGAATTCCCGCAGAATCTACACGCCTTGGCGCCGCTGTTACGTACGCTGGATCTATCGGAGAACAAATTCGTTCGAATACCCGACGATATTGGTCACTTCACGTTGCTAAAGCAATTAAATATTAGTCATAATAAGCTGACTATGCTGCCCGATGCTCTCGGAGCACTGACCAAACTAGAATGTTTAAATGCATCGTCGAACCAAATCAAATGTTTACCTTGGTCTTTGCAAAAATTAACGCGGTTAAAGCAGGTCAACCTCTCTAACAATCAGATTACAGAATTCCCCCCAATGTTTTGTGACTTAAAGTTCTTGGACGTGCTGGACATGTCACAGAATCGAATTACGACTATTCCGGACGCTGCCGCAGCACTGCATGTGGTGGAACTTAACCTCAATCAGAACCAGATATCGACAATTTCTGAGAAGTTGGCGGAATGTCAACGTTTAAAAACGTTAAGACTAGAAGAAAATTGTTTGCAATTGAATGCTGTACCTAAAAAAATTTTAAAAGATTCGAAAGTTTCGTTGCTAGCTCTCGAAGGAAACTTATTCGAGATAAAACAGCTAGCTGATCTTGATTGTTATGACAACTACATGGAAAGATATACGGCAGTGAAGAAAAAAATGTTTTAAAGAGGAATCATTATTATGAGAAGATAATCTTTTCACGTGTGTTTCAATAAGCGTGTAGAATATAAATTATACAACATATTTGATAATAGTTATTATACGGTTTTTTGTAAATTTTCAAAGCATCACATCGTGTATTTACGCAATTATTGTATTGGATAATAGTGATAATATACGGAATTGTACAAAGTATTTGTATTGGTTGTATTGTTAAGTCGAGATATTATTGTTTCATAATACCTTAATAAATAACACTGAAAATAAGTTTCATTTTCGTTCAAAATGTTTATTGATACTCTACTCGGTTAANCACGACTTGTAACACAATATACTCGGGATTCTGTATTTCACCGATGTTTCTATATACAAAATTATAATTACAACAAAATGTACAAATTTCCTGTATTATTAAATACATTTATAAACAATTTTCTATTTTAATTGCATAATATTAAATTGAATGTACAAAAGTTACAATCGTAAACCAAAAAAGTCACATTCGTAATAAATTTATATGGTACAAAATGAATTTTATATGACCAAAAATTATGCTTCCAATGTTTAAATAATCTTGTAATTATTTATTGTAACCTTTCGACGTTGCTGTTGTCACATTTCCCAAACTTATATTTTGTGAAAATAAATACTTTATTTATTTAGTTTATCGTCCTTTCCTTTTTCTCTGATATTTCCTTTTAAAATGCAAATATGCAAGCATGTATGCAATATGAAATTCTTCTTTTATTTTGTTTGAAAAATAAATGTATTTTGTATTCCAAAATGGCGAGCCTCATCTGTGTTATTCTAATGGAACGTGCCGCTAAAATTAAATAAGAAAAAACTACAGGTGAGTTGTAGTTACGAAAAAAGTTGCATGTGTTAACTTTCAAGTTAGCAACCCTTCGCTTGCAGATACGTGAGTTGCTTATGAATTACTTCATTAGGCTAAAATATTTGTATTCTACTCTTTCCCAACTGAACAATTACGGCTAATTTTAGAGCGCATTCAGTAGCAATCATCCAGTAATATTCAAATAATTAATGATAAAATATTTTGCAAGGTGTATGTTTGTGAAGTACTCAAAATTATTTGTTGTGCATGAAAATTGGTTACAACTACAAATGTATATTTTGCTTGCAAATTAATCACAGAAAGTCACGCATAATTAACCGTTTACAAAACTCGACACTCTTGGATTCAACACACAAATTTCGTGTACATTGATCATTTTCATCACAAAAAATGATATTTCATTTTTTATACTTCTAACATTGTTTTAGACGATTTGAAGTTTGGCAAAACTTATATGCAGGTCTAGGGTACAGACGACGATGATCTTGTGCATGGAAGACAACTGCTCTAATTTTGTACACACTTGAAACTTTTAAAAACATGTCCATCTTAACAAATCGCCATACTTTAATTAATTACCTTAATCGTAACTAATTATCGTGTTACAGCTGAATCTCTGTCTGTCTCATCACGAATTGTTTATATTATGGCTGCACCACAATAGGTCGTCCAGCTAACGACCATGACCGTACATCAAAATTCAGGTGCCCTCTACATGCTACATTTTTGCACGTATTCTAAACAACATTATTGACAGAATAATCACGTGAAATGTACATGCTTGCTTCCATATTCTCCATACAACTATCACTTCCTATTTGAAAATAAAGTAAACTTAAAGCTGCGAACTACAACAATTTCATTTATATTGAAAATATTTCGTTTCAACAAAATATTTATAACTGCAGCACTTGTTCGATGTAATTATTCTTCGTAAAAGAAGCTAATGATTTCAAACTGTTGCACACATTTCTGTACCGATCCCGTAGATTATGTCAGATATCGTAGAAGAAGTTTCGTGCGAATATGAAGTGGGACTTTCTATTTCGTTAGACATCCCTATGGGGAGCACTGCCACCGCAGTAGCTTCTTTGATCAACGTAGTCTCTAGCAAGTGTTTCCCCGAACATGGCGGACGGTGCTCATTCGAATTTTCAAGGGACACAATGAAAGTGCAAAGAGTTCGCCGCGGTGATGTCCATGACTAAGGGCGTGTGGTGATCCTGAGGGTGGCCGACGTGGGTGCCCAGGCGACGGCGTGATCGTTACGGCTGCATGCGTGCCGGCGTGTCGTCGTCCTGAGTTCCCGGGATAGAATTTTGCCGCGCCGCGATTGTGTGTTTCGGAGCGACCGACCGTGGCGGGGCCCCCATGGTTGTAAATGGCTGACGGGATTCGGAAAATGAGGCCCGTACGTCGCGTGTGATTCCACGGCTAAGACACTGAGGTACGACATAGAACGGTGTTCAGAGATCGAACAGCATTCTGTCCCAAAAACACCACCACCGGGCCCAAGCACCGCCCGGTACTAGGAGCTGTCCCGGGGGTTGCTCGTATCCACCGTGTCGTCAGTGTCTTCGTCAAGTGATCGGTCTTAGGTCTCGTCTATTCCTCCGAACAACGGGAATGTTCGTTTCAAGCTCCACGTTCGTCGCCGGTGATGAAAAGTTCTGAAATGTGCACCTAGCCAAGCGCGACCTTTTGTCTTGTTTAGGACAGCATTCGTAGGTGCTCTCGTTCGTTAACGAGAGCGAGAGCGCGCAGACTGGTTTTTAATGAGATGCCGATCATATGGTCGTTATTTCTTTCGCAGGTTTTCGCGATACGTTTTCGAGTCTTTTAACGTCTTTATCGCCGATCGTAATGGATGTAAACGAATGATTCGCCGGACGACGATCTATTTTGCACATTTCTGTGGATCAAGCATTATGTGTACGTGCATGTAAGACTTGCTTTCCCTTCGGATTTCAACGAAACATTTTAAGACAGTATTGTGTATTAATATTGCTTCTCTATGCGATCGTTAGTTCTGAAAATACGAGCAAACCTAATTCACTGGGATGCCTTGTAGGATAATAGGTTGCATGAAAGACTACTTGTGAATTTGCATTTTATGGTTCTGAAAACAAACGTTAGTGTAACCACAACATAATATAACAAATGAAAATATTTTTAGAAACAGCATCTGTTGCTAGAAATTTAATGTTAAATAGAAATAAGTTATGTTAAAATGCATTATCATAGTTGTTTATGTGAAAGCACATTTATATTAAACAACTAAAATATTGAACTATGTTACATAAAGTATTATTAAACATTGTAATTAGATTTTAGATGTTTATGCAAATGTAATCAAACCAGAGACATACTGAAAATTGTTTACTATACTAAGATAGTTTATTTAGTGTACTTTGTATATCTAGCATTTACCAAGCACCAAATAAAATATAAACCTTATTAAACTTCATTAAATTTTTCATTATATTAAATTTCAACTATTCAAATGCATAAAATACAAAATCTAACAATAATTCAATCATTGTAATACTACCTATTACATTAACCAAACTAAATCATACGTGCATTATATTTGTCGAGTCAATCCAATTCTATTAAAAGTTTTATACATAATAAATCATTTTTTATTTTTGTATGTAATTTTAGAAACAGGGTAGAAAATGTCAGAGCCAGAAGAAAGTCTGGCAGCGCCCGATAGCACTACGAGGGAACAAAAGTTGAGTTTCTCTCATGGAGACGATGTTCTTCTACAACATAAGGATGGGAAATATTATCTTGGAACAGTTGTTGAGGTAAATTTGTTAATTGGTATTATAAGCAGTCCTGTAATACATCAATTTTAGATGAATAGAATTTTCTTCAGTTTTATTGCAAACTTGAATCTTGTATTGTTGTTTGGTATGTATTCTAATATTGTATATATAAATATAGGTGGACTTGGCGAGGGAAAGATGCCTTGTCAAATTTATGGACAATACCTCCTCCTGGTCTTCGGTCAAGGAGCTGACAAAGTTATCAATGCCAGACTCCGATGTTATGTGTGTTCTGTGTAAAAAATCTCAGCCTAAGACTGATAATGACATTATTGTTTGCGACAAATGTGGTCGTGGTTATCATCAGCTTTGTCATCAGGTAATCAATTGTATTTGTTTAAATATGAAGATAAGGTTTAAATATGAATATTGTAGTATAGATACATAATAGTTTGTGAAATGATTGAAACTGGAACATTTACTTACAGCCTCAGATATCAAAAGAAGAAACTGCAGCCGAGGCACATTGGATGTGTAAAAGATGTGTAGATAGTCAACCACGGACAAGAGAACTTGTGGAACCAAAAACTTCTATGGTAAAGGCAAGTATTAGAAAAGTATGCAGTGGAAGAGATCAACCTCAGCCGCCACCAGATGATATGACAAAGTTGCCGTACGATGTAGGTATCTCAAATTATGCATTCTTTTGAATTGTGTTTAAAAAAAGAAATTTGAATATTTTTATTATTATTTCATGACAAATAATTATTGACTGGAATGTAAATGTAATCTATTTTATTACAGCCTAATATGTTAAGTTGGGATGCACATCATAGAGTAAATGCTGAACAAATTTATTGTTATTGTGGGCTCAATGGAGAATGGTATACACAAATGCTACAGTGTGCTCGTTGCAAACAGTGGTTTCATGAAAAGTGTGTCAGTTGTCTAACTTATCCTTTATACAGTGGAGATAGGTGAGTGATAAAATGAAATTTGTTAAAGAAAAAGTTTGTAAATAGTGTTTAATTTACGTCTCTTGACCTTTGTAGGTTTTACGTTTTTGTTTGTTCAATGTGCAATTATGGAAAAGAGTTCGTACGGCGACTAGAATTAAAATGGGTAGATCTGGTGCACCTGATGTTGTACAATTTGACTGTTTACAATGCTAAAAAGTATTATGATTTGGATACTGTTATTGTACCTTATGCAAATGATAATTGGAATACTTTACAGCTTCCACCACGGGTGAGGATCTTTATATGTTTATATAAATAAAAATCAAATTATACATGAAAATTATACTTTCTACAACATATAATGTCATGGATACATATAAATATTTTTTACTTTTAGATCAGAGATGTCAGTGCTCAAATACGAAGAGAATCTATATTAGCAATACTGACAAATAATAGGAACAGGTTTAAATGTGGCAGAGAAATAAAGAAACGTACTACGATATGGGGGCTTAGAGTTAGATTGCCACCACCATGCCCAATTGTTAATCTTCCAGCAAGTGGTGTAATAGACGACTCTGTGTTACGTAGTTGCTGGGGTGCTAATAAAAGACTGCAATACCTTCCTCCACCTACAGGGTTAGTCCATATGCAACTATAAAATTTAGATTTTGTTTAACATTTTCCTATCTTGTACATAGCTATCTTATTTCAAACATTCATTTCTTTCATTTTCTTTTTTTCACTTTCTCGAGTTAAAACCTACTATATTATATTGTATTATAATATATCATATTATATTACATTCTACTACTTACATAGATCTTTACGTATATATTTCTTCTTTCCTCTGCTGCTTCTCTGTTTCCTTCTTTCTCTGTTTGTATCTTCTTTTTTCTTCTTTCCCAATAGCTGTTTCATTTCTTTGTACTTCTGCATTTTATTTGTGTTATTAGCTGCAGGCTTTCATCTCTTTTCATCTTGCTTAATTATTCTGGCACTTATATTATTCTAATGTGTTGTATCTTTGATTATATTTTGATTTTTATATCTTTCCATTTTGTACTTGTCTTTAAATGTCTAAATTTCATTTTGTCAGCTTCTCTGCCACTTCTTTCCCTTTATCCTCTATTTGGATGATCACCTCTGACTCATTCAATTTCTTCTGAGATAGTTTCCCCTATCTTTTCCATGTTTGTATTTTTCACTTTTGACCTGCGCATATCCTTATCTTTTTCCTTTTCGTGTCTTTCAGCACTATGTAGTCTAATGTGGGCGTGTTTAATCCAAGTAACCATTTCATGTACTTGAATTTTTATCCATCTTGTTCTTTCTTTTGTATCCTCATTTCTTTGAAATTTTCTTGACCATCTCTGTGTTCTCTCCATTCTATTTCCATTTCAAAATCTCTACTCATCTCACTTCTCCAAATATTAATATTTTTTTATTAATCACATTCATTGGTATATATATTGCTTATAATTATATATAGTGTATAGTTTATAGTTATATATTATATGTATAATAATGTATGTATTGGTAATATTATTAGCCAGATTTTATCTATTTATATTATAAGCAAAATATATTATTTCAGACCGATAAGTTTACCAGAGAGTACAAAACAATTGACTTCATTAAAACAAAGCACAGCAGAGAATTTAGAAATTCCTGTGAATCCATCAGATGTGGTAATGCGTGGAACAATTTATCAAAATTCTGAAGCGGAGCAAAGTTCTTGTCCAAGTCCAAGCCCACCAAGTCAGTTCACACAATCACTAAGAGAAAGGTACAAAATCTTATTGCATTAAAATAACAATATGTATTAAATATTCATGTAGCCAATTACATAACCAATATTTAATATAATTAAATCTATGCATAGGTATAGTGGAGGTGGATTTGTAAAGAAATCATTTCCATTCCCTAAATTGAGTTTACAAAGAAGAAGACGTTTGATGGCATTAGGCAGTTCACGAGAAAGAATGTTACGTAAACACAAGAAAAGAGAGAAAGGTGATGGTTCTCTAAGTAAAGCTCAGGGTGTTAGAGAAGCTAGATACAGGAAAGCAAGAAAATTACTAAAAAATGCTATAGCCAAGGTATTTAATCACATTCTTCAATTTAAACGTTTATTAAAGGAAATATGACCCAACTTCCTATTACACTTTTATTAGAGCAAGTCTCGAAGTTCAGAAGCATCGGATTTACCACCGACGCCTCCGACTTCGGTTTCTGGGCCTCCCACACCGCCGGCTACGACTTCCGGAATATCTGAATTATCTGTGCCTAGTTCTGTGGAATTGATGCATCCTTTACCACCATCAACCTCTGCGGACACAAGTGGGGATGAGACAAGTTCAAGGGGAACACTGGATTCTTTTATACCACCGCCCAAAGATTTTGAAGGCAAGAATAATCCATTTAGAAATCTCAGTGAATTATTGGGTACGCCTGGCAATCTCAGTCAAACGAATTCGAGTACACCATCACCATATAATCCATGTCCGATCACGTTACCTCTGCCGCTTACTCCTGTTATATCGCAACCGCCGGTAGTACGACCAGCTAAAAGGCAATTATCAGAGAAAGACATCATTATAGATAGAAACGGGCAAGTGAAACGTAGGCGGCAGCATCGAAGAGGTCGCCCGTCGCAACAGCAATTGCAACAACAGTTTCAACACACTGGTAGTAAAACGGCGACCATTTTACCGGCGCGCAACAACGAGGTTAAAAGTGAATTTGCAAGGAATTTAAGAAGTTCGTTTAACGGTGCCTCGAGCAGTGCTAGTAGTCAAATTGGAAATTGTGTTGATTATGCCTTAAACGGTAGGAGACTGAGACAACGTCAGAGCAACGAGAAATTGTCGCCTCCGGATACGCAGCAGCAGAAGAAGGGTAGCGTGCCCACATCCCCAAAGTGTTCGCCAGTGAAACAAAGTGCACCCGACATATCTCTGGATGATCTAAAGTCATCGGTGAACATATATTTTGGAGCGGCCAACAGAATCGCAGCGGGCGAGAAGTTCGTCATCAAAGCGAAGAGGATAGGCCCGAATGGCCAGACTCAGTATCTCATCGAGTGGGAGGGACTTAATACTTAACAATAAGAAATTTGTTTACGGTTAAATGTATTGCGATCGTATACAATTTCTGTTGGCATCGAGCGAAAGGCAGCGATCAACTGCTGATCCTCTTTCTTTTCTTTTCTTTTTTGAGGTAACTCTAAGTTTAAAGAAAGAAGCAACCTAGTGACAAATTGATCTGTGTCACATGCACTGCCATTCGTTACATACAGTGGGCCACAAAATTATTCGCTCACCTTTTAAAACGCAATAACTTTTTGAGAACTGAACTAAATGATACATTTTTTTTTTTTAGATGACAGAGAGACTAGCCTATTAGACGATGACTGAAATGCTTTTTCTTTTAAATTTTGCTAATACTTGTATTCGTAAAAAATTAAAAACCTGGGTTTTTTAAGTTTTTTATCTGAGTCTTTAACGAAAATTTAAAAAATGCCTTTCACAGATCTCGGTAACTTGCGTGTTGAAAAACTTGCGTTTTCAACAATGCGTGTTGAAAATTTTATCGAAATCAGTTCACATTGTTACGAGTTACAACAAATTAAAGATCGCAAAAATCGCAGTTTTATCACGATTTTGACCCAAAACTGTAAGACCGACATCTGCAAAAGGCATTTTTTAAATTTTCGTTATAGGCTCAGATAAAAATATTAAAAAATAAGGGTTTTTAATTTTTTCTTTTCATTCCAAGTAATGGAAAATGCAAAATTATTTAGTTCAGTTCTCAAAAAGTTATTGTGTTTTAAAATGTGAGCAAATACTTTTGTGGCCCACTGTATGTTTATGTAATAAGTACGTATTAATTGGTATACAATGTATGACTGTTCTTGGGAATGTCAATTTTCTTTTGTCCATTGACGCCTAGAGTCTTGTGAAGACACGGTTCCATCAGCAACAAACTTCATTGCTGGACAATGAATTTGTTTCACTGTTTGTTTAAAGAAATGTCACGTCTCGTCTCTAGCTCATTTCGTTCTGTGCATCAGGAAAGAAAGAACTTTCACTTTCAATTAAGTTTCGCATTACATTCAAAATGTACCGTCCATGATTACCTTCGACGCATAAAATCATTCAATCAACGTTTCTACATCTATTTTACTACAAAGCAGACAGGAGTACACGCACGAAGAAACATTTACAAGAACAATCAGATACATTGCTTATGAATTGTACATATTGTAGCATAGTAGTTTCGCAGAGAAATCGATGAATGTAAACCATGTGACGAGAAAAGAAGTAATTTACGCCGGCTTTACATTCATTAGAGATTGGCCAATCGCTCCTTATGAATCGCGGAGCAGACCATGATCACGACAATGGAGAATTGAAGTGAATTGAAACTGACAGTTGTTCCTCTCACTTGAGCTAACGTACTAGCGAATGTTGGTGGTTAGTGTTAAAGAATAAAAAGAAAAACAAAAAGCAAAAGAGCAGATGATCCTGCACAGGTTATTTTTCAATACAATCGTAGAGATAGACATTCGCTTCTGTGATTTCATCATCCTGGACTGCTCGATGTGCAAAATCAAAATCGTTACTACCGCACACACGTATATAACTTTGTATTTCGTTACTGCAATGTTTGGAACTCTAAAAAAGCCGTCCGATCATCTTCATGAAGTGCGACATACTGCTTTTCAAAATTGAGAATCATAAAAACTTATGAAGAAATCAACAGAATATAAAAATTTTGTTTTCGAAAAGGTTTATTGACTCGAATGGAATCATAGAAAGGAAATTTTTCTATTCCGAGAGTTCAAGACGATGAAAATACAGTTCTAGCATTGCTCACTATTATACAAGACTAAGGGAAAACAGCATACCTATTTCGTATAAAATTTAAAAGAGCCACGAAGCTGAGTATGTAAGTGATTGGCCAAGTTATCTGTGCAAGGACGAGGCGTTGTAAATTTCTCTATGCGGCTTGACGAGCGGTGAAATAATTTGGAACTCGAAATCGTAGAAAATCTTTATGAACTGTTCTTGTTATATAAAAATTGTAGGGAATGAGAAGTATTCATTGGTGTGTGATAGACGTTTTCGCGGAACTTCGGACAATTTCTCCAATTTCATGGAATGATCACCGACGAAGATTGAATAGTATAAGTTCATTTCGACACTAAAATGTCTTAATTTGTTTTTCGTTTCCATTGTAATTCAACACTGCACAGAATCTGTGGTCAGAACTTACTAATCAGTAGACGTCTGTAGAAACCGTGGAAAATGTAGTTCAGAGTATACTAGGGTCTCGGATCAAAAGAGCTTATTAAAAGAACGGGCAATTTTCGTTGAAGTGTATTACTGCGTTTGATTATAGAATACTGAGTTTCCATAAATTCGACGAATTGCGAAGAAGTGATTATCGATGATTTTTAAGAAAGAAATTAGAGCGCGATAGAGAAATTATCTAATTATCAGTCTTTCTTGGTATACCAAAAGTTCCAAAACCGGATGGGAAGAAGAATCGTGCGTTAAAAAGTCGTTCGTGACAAGTTGATAGCAAGCTGCGTTCATTCGTTTTGTGACGTTCGATATTGCTAAAAAAATTTGATTCTTTTATTACTTGTTGTACACCCGATGCAAGCGACACGAAGTTTCCGCAATCTGGGTGCGAGTCATTCATGCTTAGACGGGCTTACCTAAGATAGGTATTATAAGCATTATTTATTTAAACTTACTACATATAATGATCATTTGCATTGTCTCCTTTAGAGATCCTCGAAACTGCAACGACTTCAGTACGTGAATTCTAGTGATAGCAGTCTTCGATTTTTACAAATCGTTGCGTACAAGCTTCCGCCGATTGTGCTCAGTTTATTTATACCAAAATGTGTTAACATATAGTACAATTCGAAAGACGGCGGTTTTTTATTTAGAAAAATTATGATTTAAATGTAGAATTATGAATGATTTCATTTGCATCATCCGTGTCGAGGCAATTTGTTTCGGTACTTCTAGTTCGCTCTAACTTTAATAAGGTAGTCCTATTCGTAATTACTTTACAAAAATTTTTCAATAAACTCACCATTATTTTAAGGTACAATATCATTCTGAAAATTCACATTCGTACATTAGAAACAGTAATCTACTTTCGAATTGCACTATCTCAGGCCACTTCGTAACTCTATTTTATATATGTATCATTTCGATCGTCTTCAGATAACAGAAAGAATGTGTTCAAATGTGTTCAGACATTGATGCATTCACGTGAGTCGCTACACGGAACATTTGTAATTGCTTTTTTGCATCAGATACTCATAGCACAGCCATCTCTTCAAACGCGTCAGTGAACTACAGATAGTACAGATAGTATTGGACGGATACACTGCCAAACATCTCTAAGGTATATTTAATAAACAACGTTAGACAATACTGTGCTATGACATACTAATTTTGAATTGATCCTTTCGGCGCCGTGCGGCCTTTTAAGTGTGCTCGAATCATGGCTCTGAAAGAGTCAATGGAAAACGTCTACTTCTTACTTTTAGGTTTTATTTTCGTTCACGTGCTTGTTTCACGACGGGCCGTGCCCGGGGAACTTAAGTACAACTTAAGCCGATTATGTGCGTAAAGAAAATCGTTTGCTTGCGCTGCTAAGTTGCGTTCGAACACCGACTAATTCCAGATTCATGCATTTCTTTTCGTGCGGACGCTCTCCCGATTATCATCATCGAAGTATCCTCATTGTTTTATCGTTTCATACACGTGCTTAAGTAGGATAGTGCAACGCGAAATATCGACGCACGTACATATTTGCTAAGTCGATCGTGTATTAATTTAATCGCGCGCCGCCAAACTGTATCGTTGAACGAATTTCATTTCTTTCTGTTGGTATATTGCATTTCGTAGCGCAGTCTAAGTTTCACGAGTCTTTTCACGATTGTCTTTCATACCGAGTGGTAGTGACCCGTTTCGTCGAGATACATCGTATGCGGGATTCAGGCTGGATAGAAGAATACTGAACGAAAGACTTGGAAATAATGAAGAATTGTGGGTCGAGTCGAAATGAATCGGTTTAAAGTTGGATTAGAAATTATTAGATAAAATATTTTGTCGAGAGTATTTCTTGAGGCGCTTTCATCTATAATCAAAGAGAAATCAATTGACTGCTCAAAGCCACTTCTAAGTATACCAAATAGCTAAGAGCTAACAGGACCAAGAGCTAGCAATCTAACAGTTTCTACAGGACCAAAACTATTCACTTTTAGCGACACTACGGAAATTCTTTCCACCTCGTGTTGACGGCCAGCACTTAACATTTAATCATCTGCCTGTGACACGTAGAGGTATACTCCTGAACTACCGATCACTTATCTTACGAATACTCAAACGTTTCTAACTTTGCACTTTCCCGACTCTATTAGTTATCGTAGAAGTGAAGGTGGAAAAGAACTGATTTGTAAGCTTGCACCAATGTAAGAACGGACGGTTATTTGTTAAGTGTAAATATGTAAGCTGTTGAAAGATAGGGTAACAAAGTAGCCAAATAATATTTTGACAATAGTATTCCATCGATCTTGAGCGCATCCAATGAGCCATATTCTCAAAAAAGTGTTAAGTTTTAATAAAATATACAAAATTCTAAATTGTGCACTTTGGTAATCATGATTAAAGACGATGTGCGTTTTAATTATGTTCATAGTGTTTTAAAAAGTGTTCCCTCTCTTCGGTATTGCTCTATCTAGCCCGAAGTCAATTTTACACAATTGTAGAACGTTTTGAAGGCGACGATGAACAAAAGCATTGAACGTAGGATCCTGTACAAAGTCAGTGGAATCAATAGAAAACAAAGAAAACGGAATTCCTTAAGGCTAGGCGCACAGCAAGGAGACGATAAATTAGTTCATTGATCGGCGACCAATGATCGATTCTATCGAGCGATTCGTGCTGGGTCAGCGCTTCGACTTCGCGTTTTCCGGAACGCAACGAGCAGAGGAAAAATGAAGATGTACTGCCAGTATCGTATGTAAATATGCTCCCCATCAGATACAGTCCCTACCCAGTTTTTTAACGCAAATGTATTTCACTCGAGTACGTCAAGAATGTTTATAGTTATACGTTCGTGTCTGTACGGCTACAACGCGGATGCGGGGGGCCGTTACCGGCCCACTTCCGGTCTATGCATCCAATGCATCGTCTCCCTGTGAGATTTCGTTAAGACAGTTTTCGTTATCACATGCATTTTCCTGGAAAGGAAAGAGATTCGATTGTGTTTACCAAACAGGTAGTC